ATATAGCTACTGTATCTATTTTAGTACTGAAACTAAATATAAAGCGTGTAAATAATAAATTTTTAAACTTGGAATTTATAAATATTTTTATAGATTTTTTTCATTAAATCGTCTTTACCTCTAGTCTAAATAAATTATTGAATAATTTTGCTACCATGCAAGACACATTTTTCATAAAATTTAAAATAATACTGTTTCCTAGATTCAAGATCCATTATCTATCTTAATGTTTTACGGTTCGCTAATTTACAAGGGTCAACCTTACACCACAATTTAAAAATCTCTACCTAATAAAAAAATCGCAAACAGAACACAATAAAATTTGTAATTTTGTCCAATGATGTTTAATATGTCCAGGAAAAGTAACAACCTGTAAAAGCAGGCTGGTAACATTATAAATTATAATAAACCAGAGGAGAATCGGGCACTTGTACCGAGCTGAGAGGACAATTTATGAGGAGGTATTAGGGCAGGGGCAATACTTGTGCTGTAAATTACAAGGTTACGGAACCGCTCTGCCCTTAACAAGTTTGGGGGTGGAAAGTGGGGGGTTGCAGCAGCTCCTTACCAAACGAACTTCCTAATTTATTTCGTTGAATACTTAAACCTCTTAATGTAACGTTTGTAAAGGTCGTGTTTTGAATCTGCTTTTGGGTAAATAATTTCAATGTGAATACTGCCTTAGGGATTAGAGCCTTTAGGGTGGAGTAATGAAGTTAGTGAAAGAATCTTATACTTGATTGATGTTTTAATTTGAACTATGTGCAATATTGTATGTTGTAGTTTTACGGTTTAAATATGGTTTACTGTAAGTTAATACATTGAGTGTTATATTTTTATAATTCACACGTATTTTAAACAAAGTATCTTTGTTAATATATTAGAATAAAAACTCAAATCTGAAACTAATAAAACCCAAAACATTATTGTCTTAATGTACAGTAATAACTCAAGCTTTAAGTCTAAACTAGATCATTGTATATTATTTTTGTTGAAGTCCTTGCAGCACACACTATTAAAGCACATTTGTAAGACTGATGTTGCACAGACGTATACTGTACACACAAAAAAATCTTTATCAAAACTATCGATTTGCCACTTTACAATTTAGGAGGTGGTTTCAAAAAAGTTCCAAACAACATAACAAATAAAATAACAGCACATTCCAGAATAAACCATTCAATGCCAATTTAAAATATCGATATATTTTTTGATGTAGTAGTGTGACATAAAAAACCTCTATGATGACTAAAGTTTGTTTTTATAAATAAATAGTGTTAAGATTAATAATCTAATGTTTCGTAAAAAATATTGTGGTCAGCCACATATCACATAATCAATAGACAATCAATAGTTTCAGCTATAGGCTGTAAAAGTAAAAATAATAATAGCTTTACGTATACTAACAACCTTATTTATTACAGTATTTGTGTTTATAAATGTTGTATTTCATACTAGCAAATTTGTTGAAATATATAATAACTGTTAAAAAATAAACCTAAATATTATGTTTATCTTTAGCATGGTAAAAACTGTTTATCTTAGCCACATCTGGTGATTTTTGGTGAGCTTTTTTTTCATTTGATCTGCGGATATAATACGAATTATAAAGTTTTAAACATATTTCATTCCATAATATGAGCTAAAACCAACTGAATGTTGTTTTGCATCTGGATGAACGAGCAAATCATTCATATGAAAAATACACCTTATAACACGATAGTGAATTTGATACGTAAAACCTACTGCGACATAAAATTCAGTAAAATTAAGTAAAATCATGTCGAACAACACTTTTAACACAGTATGTCATATTATTTACAGGTAAATATTCAATGAGTAATACGACCAACTTGATTGTTGTAACATATCCTTCCATTGACAGTCTTCTGTTGAATGTTATTTGTCCCACGTGTCAGGAATAGAAACCCTCTTTTATTTATTTGACACCTCCACGGAGTGGCAAATACATCGAATCAAATGTTAATGGTAATTGGAAACTGTTAGGAATGCATTAGGCCTTGAGTCTTATACAATGGCTTGCTATTCTTGAGAGTTGCTTTAGTTTTTTTGTGTTTTTTTTTAAGAATCTTTAGTTGGTAATGTAAAAAGTAAAAGACTCTAACTACCCTAGTGAATATTATTATAGAGCTAATAAATAATTTGATAGTTAACTATAACATGTTGTTATCATGAACGAAGTTTGAATATCAAAATATCACTTTTATTTATAATTTGTTTATAACTATTTATATTACTATACGTAAAGCAAATAGTATTTATTTTGGACTTGAAGGTTTTGGAAGCACTGCAAAAACTAAAATAATCATATAACTTATTATTCATAAATATTATAAATATTTATGGATTTAATGAAGCAGTGAATCTTTAGCAATGCATTATCAGTAGATTTTTTTGTGAGTTTTCTATTTTCAAATATTTTTCGACGTATCCTTTTTATTTTTTCTCCTAAAACTATCAAAATGTTTTCTCTACCATTGCAGAAACTAAAAGAGAACATTTAAATCTTAAAAATAAAGTGATTTAATACACTGAACAACTCAAACAATGATTTATCCCGTTCACAATTGTTTTTGACTTTTGTAAATTTATATTACAATATTAAAAACAACAATACATTTTTTACGTCCATAAAAAAACTACCAACGCATTGCCATAAACTATTAGCAATAAAAACAATCGATCGCCAATTTTCCGCACCTCCCTAACCTATTTACCGACTCTTCACTCTTCACTCAGCACAAATCTGTTCCAAGAAAACCTAATTACAAGGGAACAAAGGGTTGGTTCGGCTCTGCCGTGATTCAGCTGAGATTGGAGTCGTATTTTCAGGTGCTCTCGCAGTTAAGGGAGCAGCCGTATAAATTTACAGATCTAATTTGGCGGCGCGAGGGCTTTATCAGCCCTTTATCAATTGGTGGCCACAATGGGCGGGAACTGCCTGTTCACTCCGCTCGCCTAATGACCACTTCTGATCGCCCCCGAGGTATCTCATCGGATTTTGGCGGGAGGTGTAACTTTGGCGGGAAACTATGTGCGCATTGTATATCTTAGTTGGATTAGTGGGATGATTTGTTTCACAGATTGTTGTGTTATTGTTTTGGCTGTTGTTTATTAGTGGAAAAATTATTATTTAATAATAATACAAAAAATATAATACATTGATAAATAATCTTGGTTCTATGCGTTCTTATAATATACACCTGTTTTCTCAATAGAGTGAACTATTTTCTATAGTGAATTTATGATTCCTGTGAGCTGTTTCTGTTGTGTTAAATAACATTTTTTGATTCTTCATAGGAATTAAAAAATCGAATTAGTTTCAATAAAAAATTATTACGATTTTTCAGGATGTAATATCTGAGCGGAAATTACCACTAGGTAAAACACTATAATGCGGTTACCGAAAGTTTAGGGAACATAGATCACATGTTTATCTATCTATCTATATATTAATAGGCAAGCATGTTTCTTTAAAACCTTTTTTCTCAGGTCGTGTGCATCGCAGAAAAAATCTACGCATACTGTTGGAAAGATATTTTCCTGTAGATGTGCAGAATGCCTCTAAATATTAAAATAGGCTAACAAATAAGCACAAAAAATTAATTTGAAAACTTCAAAAAATTAACATGGAGCATATGGGTTGCCATGATGGTGACGAAATAACAACAAAATGTAAACAGAAAATCAAAACAAATGGAAGAAATTCAAATCACATGTGTTATTTACAGTGTGGGGAGAAAATAGAGAAGTCTGTACATTAATTATTTTTGGTCGAGTTTCGACCACAGGACGACCACTAGTACTTATTTAATACGCAAGCAGGTTTTTTGTGACAATTACTCCTCCGAAACTACTGAACCAATTAACATGTTTTTGGTGTCATTGGAAAGAGCATAACGTGAAGTTGTGCAGGAAACTTTCTTTTTAAGGAAATAATTAGAGAGTGAGGCCCTGGGGCCCTTTAAAGTTTCGTATTTATCCATAAGATTAACATGGAAAACAAATTTTGTTATGGAACTCCAGCTGTTGTCAGAAATTAAGAGTGAAATATTTATTGATCGTATCCATGGTAACAAAGAACAAACCAACAAAATTTAAAAATGTAAACAAGCAGAACTTACTGTCAAATTAATTTTGATTTCACAATTCCACACAGCTGGTTCAAACATATTAAATACTGCATGATTATTAGAACAGGAACGGTAGGGATCATAAACATTAATCAAATATGTCACTCGCCCAAATCATTTTTGTCTATGCCCGAATGTAAACATTTAACATTGGTACTTAGGTTTGCTGCTACAGGGAAGATAGGTGTGTTTTTGTTTAAATGTTGATAGCTAAGTATGATTGTTATTGGTTTGCCAATCCTGTAATACTTTAATATTGCTCGAATTCGAGCAACATGTACACTAGTTAAATTAAATGCACATTTATTCAAGCATTATTAATTTAACTAATATTTAAACTAAGATAGTTTTTTTTTATGAAAACCAATATAATTATACAGTGTCAGGTTTTTTATTTTTCAAACCTAAACGTGTTCGTATCTTAACATCGTAGTGTATTAAGAACTTTTTAACTATTGATCATTTCGTGCATAAATTGTGCCAAAGAGCTCCTTAATTACGCCAAGCCCTGAAAGGGTTTTAAAAAATGTTCCTTGGTTGCGCCAAACTTAGCAAGCCATGTAGGGGTGAGTTATAGGCAGAAGGAATGTCCTTGTTTACGTGTCATCCTAACCTAATCTAACCTTGCCTAGCCTAGCCTAACCTAATCTAACCTACTCAATTATACAGTCAAAGAGGGCCACTGTTTGGCGTGGTTGAGGAACGTATCGGGTGGCTCCCTGGAGTAGTTGACGCAATTCAGGAATACCTGACTACCTGACTTAGGTCAGTTTGCGCAATTAAATCGCGTCCTTGATGATTGAGTGTTTCTTAACTCACGATTTTTACGAATAATTTCTTTCCCAGGCTACGTAACAACGAAGTGATCAAAGCCCAGGAGGGTGGGGAACGTTCCCCTACCGGTGCTGACGAAGACTCCGTAGACGGTCTGGACGGCACGGTGCTGACGGTCAAGACAGCCACTAGAAACCACCATGGTATCTACACTTGTATGCTGGAGAATGAGGTCGGCGTTTCGACATCTTCCAATGAGGCGAACGTCTCAGTGTACTGTAAGTGAACTTTTAATTGTGTTTATAAGATAAATATTTAAGAAACTTCCTAGAAATATTGGATATTTTAATTATTCCTAAGTCTCCAACTGTTTCAACAGTTTATTGGGTTGTACTTTTTGGGTTGCGCTTTAGCTCCACCATCCGCGAAAATAGTCACCACACCACATAAACAATTCAAATCTTATAATTCTAAGCCCTACTGGGTCCCTGATTCATGCAGATCCCTTTTCTTCGTGATATACCAAAACCAAATCCATTAAAAGCTCCTACAATATACAAGGCTATTTGTGGCTGAAAAGAGTCTTTCTCCTAGATTGGGCGACTAGGTCTGCATTAACTATAAGCTTAATGCGTTAAGGATTTAAAAGACTTAATAATAAATTAAATCAAAGTTAACGTTTTTAAAATTTGTTTAGAACCGTAAGACAATACTCGAATAATTTTTACTATTCAAGTTAACTGTTACTAAGACATCGTATGAGTGTGTTTGTGATATAAGTTTACTGCCAACTTTTCTTAGTTATAATTCATCAAATCTGATCTCAATATAACTGACTCTTTTTTGTATTCAATAATCATTGTTAACTATCGTGCAGTTTAAAAGTCAGAGGATGGATCAAAGCTGTAATATAAACTCACGATCTTCATAAGAGAAATGAGTAATTTCTAATAACAATATATGTTTTACAGATAAGCCCATAGTAAATCTAACAACAAATCCACCGACGCCTGTAAGTGAGCTGGACCATCAAAACATCACCTTACTATGCCAGGTAGGATTTATTTACAATGTAAACCTTTTTAGATATATCTCCTTTCATGGATCACCTTTGTGAAATACCCTCCATGAAAGTGAAGGTACATCTGCACGTGCCATATTACTGTTGTAGGGTACATTTTCCATTTTCTTTCTGATTTAGAAAATAATTATTGTAGTAATTTGAATCAAAGCTTTGACTACAAGGATGGACGAATAAGGCCTAAGGATCATAAGACTGTTTGAACGGTTTGTTAAAAGGCATACGGTTATACATAAAAAGTATATGTGTAGTGTAAAAAAACAGAGTTTTACGTTACCAACTGGTAAACCTGTTACATCGGTAACATCATTTTATACATTATTTTAGACTAGAGCCAAACCTTTCCTTATTAAATCCAACCACACTCCTGGGAATATTCAATACTTGGTCGTAGTTCACCTGTAAAAGCAAACACAAAACGCCAGTTGGGTGGTTTACATTTCTGTTCTCATTGTAGTTGCAACACAAGTTGGATCAAGTATACTTTCTTGAGTTAATTAACCGCCTTATCTAAATGCTCACTTTATTTCCTGAACAAACAATTGCAAGTTTTCCACGCTTAGTTTTATTACGAGTCGGGATTTATTCGTTGTGCGGGAACTTTTCTAGTTAGTCGCGAGAAAATTGTGAACAATTAATTTCGCCGAGAGACTTTATAGCTGTAAATACACGTGGGGGTTTTATCGCTTGGTTTATAGTGAATAGTGGTTGGATTACAAAGATGAAGTTGTTTTTAACACTTTGTAACTGAAGTTTATTATGGTCGACTCGTAAATAAGTCTAGACTTATTTGCAAAGGGAATTGTTGTTTCCCAATTACGAAAATTCGTTTACTTTTAAGTAAGGATTTTGGGGAAAAAAGTGTCTATGAATGATGGCTCTCAAACCCCTTAGTTTTTACTAGGGTAGACCTTAATTTTGCTTTATCGTTTTTTCACCTGACTTTTTGTACAATTACTGATGAATGAACTGTATTTACTCAATTTAAATTCTTAGGCCTTCATTAATGTCATTTTTGGGAAGCGACTAGTACAGTTGAACACGTTAAGACTTAAAGGAATATGTCAAAAACCTACAAAAATTATGATACTTCTTAAATCTGGCTACCTGATTAAGTTAAGGGTACTTAAGTTTTTTTTGTCAACAATATGGGGAAACTACATAATTTATAGAAGATATTGTTTCACCTTCCCATCAATTTAAATATTTTAATTCTATAAAAGTAATTCTATGAAGAAATTATTTGATTGTCAATCATTGGCTTCTTAAATACTTTAGCAGAGTTTTAATAGCAATGACAATAGTGTATCTTCGTCTCACAAACCTTAACGCTCATTCCTCACACTTGAATGGACATTTAACTATACACACGTTCCATACTCACCTCCGAGAGAGCGAGATGATGTAGTGGTGATGTGCGGAGCTTCGGTACCTGAGGTCCCGGGTTCAAATCTCGCCAAATCACTAATGAATTTTATCTATGTAACAATGCCCCACCCCTATGTCTAGCCTTAAGTAATGTGAAAACGAATTTTGAGTATTCTAGGATAAAAAAATATTAGGCCCTTCCCACCTCCAACTCTTGTCCAGGTGTACACTGGGTACCCAGACACACTGTTGGCGGTGAGATGGTACCTGGACGGCGAGTTACTCAAAGAGTTGCCGGAATGTGGTGCCTCCAACGCCACCCTCTGCGACATCGACCCCAGCAAGCTCCTGTTGGAGGAGGTCGAGAGGAGGTTCCATGGCAACTACTCGTGTGCTGGGATGAACGAAGCGGGCTGGGGACCCATCAGTGCAGCTACTCCAGTCATCGTATATTGTAAGTGTGATTATGTGGATTTGTAAAAAAATAGGAGTTTATTGCGTGAAATTGTGTGAAATCCCGTGTAATGGGGAGGACTTTTCTCATTCAAGCCCTAGAATTTCTACCGATCCTTTACTCGTAGCTGCAAAATTCCGTTTTAGGATTATTAGGTTATGTATTCGAATCAACCATGCATTTTAACGTTATGTTAAATAACTTAACTCAACTACAATATGGTATTTTGGACTACACAATAAAGGTTTAAGTCGAAATTTACGGATGATTCAACATGCGTCCCCTTAAGCACTTTGTTGGGTAGGTCTTTTGTAAAAAGAATTTTACATCTTTTGATACTGATATAGTCAGGCTTTAATATTTCAAAAAATTATTTATATTAATATACTTGTTTGAGTCTGGTTTGATTTTGTCCTAAAAAGGTAGGACTGAGTTAGAAATTTCCTATACAGTCATAGATTATTAGTACAATAGAACAACTTTGAAAAAATTGAAATCCTAATTTAATTATTTTTTTTTTGCTAATTTTAGCAAGAAGTGTTTTAATGAAATACCCTAGTAGGCGGTTAAATAAAGAAAATTGTAATACACACGTCTTGAAAATTATACACTACTAAATAATTTAAAACGCGTTCTATAATACAAACAAAGTCCGTATTAAGTTGCAAATTGTTGTATTTAATTACCTGATGTCCTAATAAATGTTGCTCTAGTATGTTTATTCGCAAAAGCCTATTCAAGAGCTAATCTAAAGTAAATCTTTTTTCAATTAAAAGTTAAATTACAGATTGTACCTCCGGGGCAGGTCCAGAACCTCAAGGTTATTAAAGTTCCGTGAATATTTTATGATTAAAACCTTATTCTCTATTATTTTTTTGTTTGACATTAATTATTATTTGAACAAGTTTAAATTGGGACATTTAAGTACAAAACAGACTTTCTGTTTTATGTTTTATTTGATTAAATCGAGTTAAATGTAAAGAAATAGTTTTTTTTCAGAACCGCAAAAAAAATTAAATACCTTATACAAAAAGGTTGTAGGAAAATTTGCTTACAACAGAACATTTAAAAATGTAAATATACTTAGTAAATAAGTGCATTTTCATTGACATCTGTAATATATGTGCCTTATAGTTTGTTATAACTTGGATACTCTATGGGCTGTGCTCCCTACCACAATTCGTAAGAATAAAGTTCTTCTATGTTCAACCATCAACATGAAAGCATCTCTTATTTCAGAGCCTTGTCTAATGTCAGTATACATATTTAGTAAAGATGGTTTTAAGTGTCAATAATTGTTAGTGTTGCTATAAAAGAAATTGTATACATTACAACATCGTTTAAAGATTTTACTTCTAAACTTTCTAGACTAGCCAACGACGTTTTATATTTTTATAAAAATATATAACATGTGAATTCCATTAGGTTCCAGATACAGGAGATGTTGGACAAACATTTAAATATTAGTTTGAATCATTTACTGCCCAATGGTTTTTTGTTATGTGACATAAACTCGAAATACTATTTTATACCACTCTCACCATGAGTACATTTTATCTAAACAAATTGGTTGAACCATCTATCCATCTATAATTTACTGCATTCTGAGCTATATATAGAAAAAACCTGAATATGTACCTTGTACCGCAAATTGGTAAAAGCGTAAATTCTTTCACAGCGTTTTTTAATAGTATACAAAGTTAGTTAATCGTCCCATAGATAAAATAGACTTTCTAGAATATTAGCAGGTGAAAAAGGGAAAACGTCGCTGGTCTCAGAATTGAACTGGCTTGCTTTAATGCGACAGGATCTCGAAGAAGACTCTGCATTTTTTAAGTCCTTGTATATCCTTGGGGAGGTAGTTTATGGTAAAAATACTGAACGGAATGGTTCCTTCTTTTACCCTAAAACATCGTCACAAACAGTTATAAATATAGGTTGTAAAATGATGCCCTTCATATTTACTACTAATCCCATCACACACCTCCTAAACATAACCTAACTTCCAACTCTGTCACAGACCCACCAGGGGACACGTCGCTCGTCTACACCCCAAACCAGGTGAAGAAGAAGGGCAGTGTGACACTAATGTGTAGTGTACGTGACGAGGGTCGTCCCCCCGGGCCGATCTACCGATGGCTACGTGGAGGTCATCTCATACACGACGTGACGTCTGCCAACTGGACCATTGACCCGGTCACGCTGGAGACCGAGTCCAACTTCACCTGCATCGCGGAGAATGACGGAGGACAGAGTGTGCCGGCCACGGTGGCGTTCAAAGTTTTGGGTGAGTCCAGTTTGATGTGATTTGATTTGTACTTTTTAAGGATTCGTAGGCTCTTTGGACCTTTTATTTGGGCGTCCTCAACATAGGCCTTTGAGGCATGCTCGGGAAACGTAAAAAGCAAAGTAAGGAATAGTTACACTTTAAGAGGCAGCACTGGACCTTAAACCCTCGACTTTTCCGGACCACATACTAAACTGATATAAGTAAAAAGCTGCAATTTCTTATGTCGTAAATCCTTGAAATCAAGTTTAATTCAACTTATTAAAATTTTTGTTTTTGAAAAGGATTACTTAAGGATAGTATAGCTTCAAAAATGTTGTTATTAGTTTTCTCTTTGATATTTTGCCCACATATAGTTGAAAATACTCAGCTTAAATTTTTTCAATAACAGCCTATAACGATAGTAAACTGGTCCCAGCTGTAATATAACGATTGCTAAGTAGTGTTATGGTATAAGTCACTATTATAGATTAGTGACAAGCAAGTGCAAAGATTAGTTAGTGCAAGTGGCCAATCTTTCACAATTAAGGCAAATATAACTAGCCTATTGTTGCGGCGAGAAACTTCGATCCAGAACAATAAGTAAATATCATAACATTTTCAAAATAAACTTATCACACACTTTTATAGAAATTTCTATATTTCGGCATTAGCCTTCTTCACTATAACAAACTATAAGGCACATATATTACAGATGTCAATGAAAATGCACTTCGAAGAAGGCTAATGCCGAAATATAGAAATTTCTATAAAAGTGTGTGATAAGTTTATTTTGAAAATGATTAAGCCGTTTGGCAATATTATAAAGAATAAATATCATAACAATAAGTTTGTCAGAATAATAAGTAAATATTATGCATGGTTATTTTAATTATGATTTTAAGAGATTTGATTACTTTTTATTTTATATTTCACCTTTTCTATTAGATAATATATAACACAATACCAAATGGGGGTGAATTCTAAATCGTCGTAGTTGTTTAGTGTAGCCTACATTTACAATTTACTAATTTAGTTTTGAATATAAGTCGAAGAAATAATCAGGAATAAAATTAAACTGCAGAACCCAATCTTCTAGATGTTTCAAATACCTTTATTATAAAACATGCACCTATTGGATCTGTATTCTATGTATGCAAAGTTGATATAATGCTGCAATGTCCTGTATTTCTATGACTAAAACCAATATCTCATTATGTATTCTATCATATTCCAGCACCACCAAACTTCATTGAGCGACCTCACCCGTACTTCGGCGCTCGATGGAACGACCAATATATCAACCTGACCTGTAGAGTGGAGTGTAGCCCCCTCTGTACGATCAGCTGGACCAAAAACGGACGACCCATCGACAAAGCCATGAACAACCGGTATGACATACGGGAGGTCGTGGAACGGTCCAACCCGACGGCCAACATCTTCGAGTCTGTCAGGTAATGTGGTTGTAGTATTTATTCTATGGTAGTAGTATAGAATAGTAGTTGAAAGGTCATGTGCTAGATCACGGTACTTAAGTGGCCAGATCCTTAAGGTTACATGTATTTGCCTATTGGGTAGATTACCAATGAATCTTAAGGTCTAGTAGAATATCTAAGTATGTCATATAGAACCTACGTGTGTTCTTTTTTACATTTCCATAACCTTCTTTGAATGACAATGGCAATAAATTACTCAATTAATCCATTCACTAGTGTGACGTCATGGATCCTGCAGCATGACCTAAGTCTGCAGCTTTGCCACTTTTGTCTCGCCACAACCTTGTGTTGGAGGAGGCTATGAAACTTATTTCAGAAAAAATTTACAATTAATTAGGCAAGGTGTGAGTAGAATGGGTGGGCTGGAGAGAAGGTATTAAATAATATTTAGCTAATCAGCTCAGTGACTTTATATTTCATAAGTTTTTTTTTTTGTTCCTCGACTTTTTACTATGATTCGTCTACCAACCAAAGCCTTTTAGATTGTTCACCAATGAGCCCGATGTTAAATTGCATGTTTTTATACCATTTTATAAAATTGTAAGTCAATAACATTAAAAATTTTATCAACTTGAACAGCTGCTTTATTGACAAGTCATTAAGCTATGAATGCCCTTAAACACCTTAGGGCATTGTACACTAATCTTGCCATAATATTTTGTTGTAGGTCAACGCTGATCTGGAACATGTCGGCCTGGCCTGGGGCGCAACTAGACAGGTTGTCAGACAACGCCAACTACTCTTGTCACAGTTCAGGCAACCTTGTGGGAGCTGGAGTCAACAGCACAACAACGTTTGGTGTAGAGTGTGAGTGTTGTAATGTTATTTTCGTATACACTGCGAGGGTTCAATTTATTAGTAAAATTAATATTGTGTTCTGTAATACAGTAGTATAAACAGGCGTGATGATATCCCAAGTTATCAGAATCAGAGCGATACTAATATGTCATAGCTAATATGTCAACCAAAATCTGTTTCATAAGTCAACGAAAATGCGATTTAAGACGTTCCCGACCATACGGTACACTCTATTAGTACTTAGCTTCAATACACCACCCAAACATGTATTTCAGAGCGAATACTATTGGTAGTGGAATACGTGAAAGTCTTTCCAAAAAAATCTTTTGTAAATACGTTTAAACTACTTCTTGAAGTTGGACTGAGCAATGGAACTTAATGTAATTGAAATACCAACTCTCGTTGTATTTTGTTGTACATCCGCATAATCCATGTAAAGGTATGTATCTGGAGACCCAAATACGTTTGTGGTGTGTATGAGTTAAACTTGTTAAAAACTGCTTTAGTTGCACTGTTGTGAAATCTTAACGATTGATTTTTCCCCAAAAACGAATGGAAATACCAACGAATATAGAAGAAGACATGAAGGGTGTCCGATATGTATTCTGCGCAAGTTCACATATACTAAAAAAAACTAAAAAACTTAAATGTAAAGAAACTTTCAAGCTCTTGACAAACTATTTCCCCGCAGATCCTCCAGAAAACGTGACGGTGACCAACAAGATTGTGAACGTGACTGAGAACAACATCCCTCCCAGAGTGCTCTGCAGCGCCAAGGCGTTCCCCGAGGCGTCCTACAACTGGTCGAGGGAGGGGGACAGTGACGTGGTCAGGGGGAACGCTCTCATCCTCAACTTCCCCATGCAGAGGCACAAGGGTGGAAACTACGTGTGTACGGCGTACAACAAACACGGCAGCAACACGCAGACCACGTTCTTCAATGTGCTGTGTAAGTAGGTTTAGATACCTCGTAAAGGTATTTAATTCTGGGTCTCTTACTGAAGAACATACTGGGGATACTTGAATAACTATTCGTGGCCTATTCAATAGGTAAAATGTTTATTAGTACTGTTTGCTTATAAATTAACTAGTTTGAATTACCAAAAATACAGGAGTGTCCGATAGTTATCAATAATCTGGCTGCATCATCGTCATTTTTTTTATATAGTGTGCCTCTTTAGTTCCGTTAATTAAACGCTTGGCTACATACTGTTTATTTTAATTAAACACAAGTTATTTATTTTAAATGTACTACTAGTATGTTACTTAAAACATTCTTTAAGAAATGTAAAAATCTTCGTTGAAAGACCCAACATTTCCTTAAGTTTAAGGATCCAAATTATACCGAGTGCAGAAGACTTCTATATCAGGGCATTTTAAACTTTTTTGTTGTATAAAAATGAAAAAAAAGTGCTAATGGGGTGTACTTTTTTCTACACACCATTAAAATGGTACGCTAATGTGGTAGTGTTGTGAAATCAGCCATATTAATTCCTTTCCAACTTTGCGCACATTTTAAATGTTTAAATTATTTAGTTTATTATCTGGCAACAATATTATTTATAATTAAAAACATGATTTTTAAAGTAATCACAGCTACATTTTGAAATATTGCTTATCAAAACGGTGTTAAATAAGTTTTTGCCCCCGCAGACAAGCCTGAATGTGGCATCACCCAGACCGAAGTCAGTGGCAAGATGGTGCTGATATGTACGGCAACTGCCAACCCCGCGGACGTGGACTTCACATGGAAAGTGAAAAACGAAAACGAAACGATAGAAGACAACATCGAGAAAGTTGGACTGCAAAGTTTTTTAACGCTTGAAACTAGAGTGGAAAATTTCAGGACATACTTGTGCGTGGCGAATAATTCTGTTGGTTCATCAATACCGTGCGAAAGAGATGTTACAGGTTAGTAAAATTCTTACTTTACATATCACTTTTTATATTTTTATCTCTATTAACATTAAGATAGTGTAAGTAACGTGTAAAAGTGTAAATATGAGTAAAACACAGTTGTCTGTGTAAATTAATATAGTTAGTTAATGAATCGGTCAATATAAAAACTTTTGAAATAAAATATATAAAGATAATGACTTTTAATTAAAGCGCGTAAAACTTAAAAGATGCTGAATTTAGGTGTAAATGTAGGTTTTTGAACCTATAAAAACTAATTGAATAATACATGGATTATTTTGATTAGTTTTGCAAACATTTTCCGAGTTTTTTCGTACATTTAGGACCATTCTATAGATAAAAGGTAAGATTAGGCTATCTTAAAAATCGCGATGATTTAAAAGGGAGACGTTTGGTATTTATTCTCTTGGTAGTCGTAAATAGTTTAAAAGTCTAAAATCAGTTTTAAATACTATAATTGAATGGTTAACAAGCCTTTTATTTATAAGTTTGATAACTAAATAAATGCCATGGTGGATGAATGAAATTTTGATTGACGTCATTAAAAGATAAAAACATGACATAACTACAAGAAATAATGATAAATAATGATTGAATTAATTTTCTATCACACAGTAAATTTACGAAAATTAATGCTTCTAGCATACCAGGAGAAAAGTAGTAAGTTCAGAGCTACAGGTATGCATTTCTTCAATTTTCTATTCCTCACTCATTTTTATCTTAAAGCATAATAACCATTATTTTACAATTCCAAAAGAAACCTTTCAATAAATGTTTTAAGATAGAAATTGGGTAGAGGAATATTTATATTTCTGCATGTAATTAGCATACAGCTTTTTCCATTTTTTACAAAATTGTAATTTTTGCACAGCACACATTTTTTTGCGTGGTACGGTAGTACCTACGAAAGTGGCTGTAGCACTTAGTAAATTATTGAAAACAGTTTTTTAATATACAACTTAATTACATTGTTCTACATTTATTCGTCGTGAAGTTTAATGAATAATGTTTTCTTGATTATATTTAACTGTTTTTCCACTATACATTTTCGTGGGCGTTTTGCATGATTTTCAAATTTCATTCATCAGCGCATGGCGTATTTCATGATTGCTTTGAAATATATAGATGTTACAATATTATTTGTTCGCCTTTATGAATGGCTTTTTTCAAATAATAGTATAGATTATCGATTAAATGTATTTCTGTCTACTAATTTATTATGGGCATTTTGTTAGATGTAAATTTTAAAGATTAATTGTAAAAATGTAAAATCTTACTTTATACTAGGATAAAAGAAAGCATTATAAAAAAAAAAAATTATACAGATTCGAAGTTGTATTACCAAGTTAAAGGGACAGATCTTAAAACACTTTTAAACATTTTTATTTAAAAAACACTAAAAGTACATATTTATATCTCGACTATATTTTAGGTTTTTGAAAACACTGCACACTTTTCGCTTAGGTTGCACGTTAAAAATCATTTTTAATTTGTTCAACTAATTAAGTAATCTTACAATGTGACGCAAATGACAAAGTTGTCCACTTTAACACCATAGACAACATGAATTGGACTCTAATAAATTTAACAGGGAAATATTGTATGGTTTAATTAAGTCATAATTTAGATAAATATTAATTTTACTTTTAAAAAAAGTAAGAAAATTGTACAATAAACTATTGAAAAGGAAATCATACAGTATCTCAGTGGCAGTTTTACACAAAACTGATCTTCACAAGTAAACATGTAACGTACAGTATAGGAAACACGTAATAAACGTAGAGAAATGTCAGCTGACAGCTGGCGTGCAATGACGTCATTGACGCCAAAGATAACTTTAAGTTATGTTTGGCTCAGTCGGAATTTGTAGGCTGACTGGAGTGCACATAGTATTTACTCTCAGAGGTAAGAAAGGCCAGAATGGAACATTTTGAACAATTTTTTTAACTCAATGTGCTTTATCAAGTATTTTTCCTTTCGGATGTCATAATTATCAAAGAATTATTCTTTGAAATGAAATGTCGTTTGTAAAAAATTAATAAGGCCACTTTTTCCATTAGCTCTACAAAAATAGTGAAGCTTTTTAAAATTTAATATTCAAATATTTTACAAAGTACCTAGTTTTTTATCGCTTTATCATTGCAATAGAAGCTAGCCAATGACTTTTTAACTAGTTTTCGTTAGGTTACCAACTACTTTGATTGAATTTTGCGATTAAAATAACCATATATTTCATAATTTTTTTCATCTTATATTTAAATGTGTCTGGATTCATGCGGTAAACCTTATGGAACTTCTCTGCATGTTCCAAGAGCTGATCAAGTATTGGTTACTTTTAACATTTTGGTGCCAATAAGGGGGTACCCAATATTTTATTCACCCTAGAGAATTTCATCAACCGATGACGTCGTTGACATTTTCCAATGAACTGAGCGCCAAAAAGCCTCACCTCTCTCATCTTGCTACTAGCACATGCCACGACCGTGCAGCGTGCATGCATCTCGCACAGTGCTACTGGCAACAACAATACTAGTCGCACCCAGCGACCACGTGGTCGCTGGTCGCACCGTACGAGATGCATATGTGTGTAATCCGCCTTAGTATTAACTAACCTTCGGCACATTGCGTTAAGCTAATCAAATTCACTGTTAACAAACTAAAAGATGCCATATTTTATTACCTATGGTATATTGAAATTTTGTGGTGGTCGCAAAGGATTTGTCTATGTGTCCATCCAATTTTGGAGATTTTTATTGTGTATTCCGTATAACATTTTTCCCTTCGAATAAATAATTTTGATTATGTGTTTCATGATGTGTTCTCTTCCAGGTAACATCAGCTGGTGGCACAGGTTAGAGAACGATAATCTGATGATACTACTAGCTGTGATTGCTGGTATCATACTGGTGGTGATCATCATTTGTGTCATCATCATCATAGTCTGCAGACGCAGGCGAGCCGCAGACAAATGTAAGTTCAGTGAAGCTTGCACGGAAATATCACTCGTCGAATTTTTTTATGATAAGCAATAATTTACCTAATTGTGAAAGAATAAACGTAAATATAAATAGGACGGTGGGTTTATTTTTTTAAGTAGTAAATTTTTTTTTAAGTTTCTTTAAAAAGTTTGAAAATCTGTACGTTTGTGTTTAGGCTAAATTTTAAGTAAAATCTTTACAAATTAGTAAATGTTTATTTTTAAGAGAGCCACAAACAATTGCAGTGATAACACACAATTGAACGAGAAATACCTTTCACCAGGACCAAAGAACATACACATGCCGGACAAACAGGTTTGATTTATTCCAAGTGTGGTTTTTACCAATAGATTTGTGTATTGTTTTTAAGGTAAAAGTATAAATGTGTACCTCGTTGAATTAGAATTGTTAGCTTTGCCCCATTTGAGTACTTATGTAGTTAAATTGCAATTAATTTGACTCTAATTTTCATTGTGTTTAAAGCATGGTTGCTTATACTAGCTTTTACCGTGTGCTGTTATAAAACATAAAATTGACTCTTAAGAGTGTGTAGTTTCTGTTATGCAAACCACATTGACTGTCTTGAAGAAAAGACAATATGTTCGGCAAATTTTGGTTACAGGAGGTAAAATTGAAGGTTACTACTACGCTTTTCATTCATTTTTATATTTTTCAGTTCCTCCTATATTTTTTGTCTGTTTCCATGTAACGTCATTTAGTTACACAATAACATATAGACATACTAATGGCTTTTTCACTATATTTATTTGCTGCTACGTTCTCACTAAAGGTACTAACATAATTGTTTCGTTTTCCCTCCCATTTATAGATAATAACCCAGTGGAGTTGGAAGATAGACAAAAGTAAGTGTAAATCTGTTTTATTGAGTAGCCCCAATTAAAGGTGGTGGGTGAAAATGATAAAATAATTTTACAAGCTATGAAAGTTTTGTAAAGGTTTTTAGATTGGAAAATTCACATTCAATTTGAATGCAATAAATAGTAACATCATCTTTAATAATTCATTTTGAATAGATTTTAAATTCCTTTTAAAATATAATTTCATCATATTTAAAGTGTACAAAATAGTCTAAGGCAATATATTTTGAACATTGTATTGTAATTTCAATTCTGGCAACAATGTTACTTATTTATATCCCATAATGGGATTATTTAAGAAGTAAAACGGCTATGTCTTAGGTTTCCAGCTCCAACGCATGAACCAACTTTCCTACAGCATGAACACACTTTTCTATATCTTCATTTTCCTCTGTTTTCATTTTTTATTTGCTTTCATCTCCAAGCAGGGTAAAAAATAAAAAAGACGAAGTTTAAACAATACGTCACTATGAGTTAAATTACCGTCAGTAAAATGATTCAGTATTATGATAAAATCTTGCAATTTTATCATCTAAGAATCGGGAACAATGTAATAAAATATCAAATTACACACTAGTTTAGTCCAATTAAAAATAATCCGTTATAGTGCGTAAATGATTACCACCGAACATGTTCATGTTTTAAAATTTGTAATGTATTATTCATATTAATATTTTAAGCTTCAATAATATTAATATTTTTAGGATCAATTGTGTTGTTCTTTTTTTCCAAACCTCATGGGAAACTAATGGGGAACCTGAAAATGTTTTACAAAATTGATGGTTTTTCTTCTGATTTATCATTTTTGTAAACTGTACCATACGTATATAACCGTAATTATTTTCATTACGACAAAATAATAAAGGTAAAAATTTTCACCTGGATTCATTTATATAGATAAGTTAAATATAACTTCCCCATTTTCAGAGCTAAGGATTCTGCTGAAAAATAATAATAGTATTTCTATGGAATCATCATCCCACGTTTATAATTTCAAATGAAAATTCACGTAACTGATAAAAGCATAAATAAGCTTTTTTAACTTGGAATACTGGAGTATAATGTAATATAATTGTATATAAATGTTGTATTATGTTTACTGTTATTAAACTGAATACATTTTTTTTCAGTAACTTCTCGTCAACCTGGCCCTTTATAATTGATACTTAGAATATTTATGAGTATACAATTTGATAGTTTACTATCATTAATTACTATTTTACCATAACAAAGATTTCATTAAAGCTGTATTTTTAGGCAAAACATTTTACAAAAATAAAGTTTTGAGACAAAAATCTCTTAAGCTGCACCGTTATAGCTTTTTTTGTTTTGTAACTATTAGTTTACAACTAAACTAATTTATATAAACATATAATTAACAAAGGTCTAGATATAGAGATGGGACTTATAATAGAAAAAAAAAATCAACAACCTTAGCATTTTTATAATTCTAAATAATTAATAATGAATTTGTAGTAAGAATTTAAATATGCAACTACGTATAATACACGGAAATGTTGTATACAATAATTTGTCCCATTACTAAATATATAAACACAATTTTAATTTGAAATGCCAAGATTTTTCTTATATTAAAACTACTTCTGACAAGGTTAATATTTTGGATACCAACTATGATTATCTCTACATACGTCTTACACAGAAAAATTGTAAACTAAACACGAGTTTATTTTTCTTATTGTTTTATGAATTAAAACTGGAAATTCTCAATCATATAAACAACATCTAAATAGTCAAATATACTCTTAAATCTAATCACCTTCCAAGTTGTGTGTAAATAGTATGTAGATAAAATATGTATACTCAATTATAAATATGCTTAAGTGTGTCAAAGGATGTTTATGTTTAAGAAAATTAATGCACTTGTTTCTTAAACCATTTATTTAAATTTATTATGGTTTTTATGAAAGAAAAAAATATGTTTTTTCACCAATAAATTATTCATATTTATTTTGCCACTATATTTAATTCTATATGTAATATTGTGAGGGGTGTATATAAAAATATAATAGGTTTTCTTAGTATTGTTTACAGCCTGAAAATTATATGTTTGTTTGTGTTGCTTAAAAAAATGTATATTAGGCCTAATGATATAAAAAGAAAACGGAAAGACTAAAAAATATTGTTTTTACAAAATTAATAGGGTAACTGTGATGCATTTTCGTACATTTGGCTAACAAGAACAAATGATCGAAAACGCATAACTCTTGTACAAATAAAATGCATGTTGATATAAGCAAATAAAAAATAAAAATGTTATCAAAGTGCTTGTTAATACTGTAGTTAATGATTTCTATGTAGAATTTAATTAATCCGGACATAAAAAAACTAAAAAATCTTTCACTGTTTCTGTGAATAGATAAATAATTACACATACCACTTTGCCGCTATGTACCAACAACATACTAATACTAATATACTAATAATACTAATACTGACACTTACTGTAAAATTGGGTTCAAGTACAGTTAAAAGTTTAAGAAGGTTTAATTTGAAAGAAGCCGTAACATCTAAATTTAAAATGTGTACTAGGTTCGGGCAATTAGATGTTTGAACCATTTTTAAATCAATACAACTTTATACGATCATGTTATATAATTTATTTTATTTTGTGCTGAACTAAAAGCCCACTAAACCAATACAGCGTCGTTATATTTTTTTAACAAATGACACACACCTTTTCTGTTAGCCTCATAGTACTCTAGGCTAGGATAGTGTATTAGCTGTATAGGCTAGCCTATAATCCCGGTGTAAGCTTTAGCCGTGCCTGTAGTTACACTTCGCCATTTCCATAGGGCTAACTCGTAGTGACTCTAAGCTAGGTTCATAGTTACGCTTATAAGCACTTGTAGTAGCTTGGCTGAGCCTACAGCTAGGCTAGGCCTACAGTTAGGCTGAGCCTACAGCTAGGCTGAGCCTACAGCTAGGCTGAGTCTACAGCTAGGCTGGGCCTACAGGTAGGCTAGGCCTACAGCTAGGCTGAGCCTACAGCTAGGCTGAGCCTACAGCTAGGCTGAGCCTACAGCTAGGCTGAGCCTACAGCTAGGCTGAGCCTACAGCTAGGCTGAGCCTACAGCTAGGCTGAGCCTACAGCTAGGCTGAGCCTACAGCTAGGCTGAGCCTACAGCTAGGCTGAGCCTACAGCTAGGCTGAGCCTACAGCTAGGCTGAGCCTACAGCTAGGCTGAGCCTACAGCTAGGCTAGGCCTACAGCTAGGCTGAGCCTACAGCTAGGCTGAGCCTACAGCTAGACTGAGCCTACAGCTAGGCTGAGTCTACAGCTAGGCTAGGCCTACAGGTAGGCTAGGCCTTCGGCTAGGCTAGGCCTACAGGTAGGCTAGGCCTACAGGTAGGCTAGGCCTACAGCTAGGCTAGGCCTACGGCTAGGCTAGAAGCTAGTGTTGATTGGTGAATTGTTGCAGCAGACAAGGCAGGTTCGTTATGAACCTCTACGAATTCGAGTAAGTAGCTGACTAACCCGTAGAGTTTTACTAAACGCATGAAGTCCTATCTATTCCTTCATTGAGAATTTGAGTTTGTAACAATTTTATTGGAAGAAAATATAGATATTTTGACACCACTAAACGTATTTATTCTATATTTAATAGTAATGTGATGATCACCACTTAATTAAACAATTATAAAGTTAAGAGTTAAATTACTGTTATCATGAAGAAATAATTGTATACTCTAAGAAATAAAATTATTAAATTCTTATTGATTATTAAATAAGAATGGTGCTGATTCATAAATTAAAATTTTGTTGAATAAAATAAGTACTATAAAAAAATTGGAATTAGTAAACAATCTATGATATTAATACTGAAAGATTTGCAGATAATTTTACAATTTTCAACAACATCCACAAATAGCATACGTAAAACTATATTTTAGTAACAAAAATATGGCTTAAAATATATTTAGCTGTCTGTGATAGAAAACCAAGTAAATTTTTATATGGATTACACTAGATGTTTTACAGTAAACATAAATAAACATATATCTTAATCTGTTAAGGTATAATCTTTTTCATCTTATTCTAGAATTTCAAATATATTCTTCAGTTTACAGTCATAAACTTATAGCAAGCTTATTGGCAAATAAAACCATCAAATCTCAAGAAGTGGATAATATAATCTTCTTATGTTAAAAGTCCCGACCTAACCACTGTACAGAATAACTTCCACATTAAATTGTACATACCTCAATCCCATGCCGCATGAAGCACGTTAGTTGTCTCCTTCCTAGCTGTGTCTGTACATAAGCATGTCCTTTTGTCTTTCGTTGCACAAGCACGCACCACCATACGAGAAGCCGTATAAGAGAGATTTTTCATTTTTCACACTTTTAAATTTTCTAAAGAGTTATAAAATCCAAATAACTAAATTCGCACCTCCTGGAGCAGTCCTGACGGGACTACGTCTCCAGTTCCCCCAGTTACTCCGCCCAAGTGGCCCCTAAGACCTGGCGTGTTGGTGCATGTAAACACGAACCACAGCCTGAGCCTGGGCCGGCTGCCTGCTGGTGGGGGCGAAGACCGAGAGCGACAAAGACGGACTACCAGTCTGGCTAGCGTAGTCAGCGAGAACCAGCACACTAGAGCTCAGCGAATCAAAAACATGTTCAGCGATCATCGCAACAAACTGTCTGATACAATGCCTGGGATATACCACGGTGAATCTGGAGGTAAGAGAGAGGAAACAGGAAGGGACGACTGTTCACATTTTTAAGGAACTCGGTTAGGGTAATAAATTAAAGGTTAGGGTTACATTGAATCAATTTTTAGGTTATTTCAACGATAAATGATCTACCATTTGGAATGTTAAAATTGAATATTAGATACTCTTTCTTTACTTTAATAAACTGCTTAAAGGATATAAAATGCAGTAAATTATTAATTTTACAGTTTCTTTCAAATTTAAGTTTTATTTTCGTTAAAACAATAAGAAAAAGATTAGTAAACTGTTGAGAAAAATTATGATGAAATCGAATTATAATATAAATTAAGCATACAGTGAAAGCATTAAGTTGATTCCTTTTAATTTAATAATATGTACCTTGTTACAGAATAAAATCTGACCGTTTTACAGTAGGCTTATTATTACTTTGACTCTTTATACAATTACAATTCTTACACATAGTGAAAATATTTAAAAAATATACGATGAAATAGTTTAAAAAATCAACTAGACAAAACAATTTAAAGAAATATATAATATCCTATTTTGTGGGACAATAGCTTAAATTTAACACCATTGTTGTACAAATCGTGAAAAGAAATATTGTAATTACGTCAGAAGTAATTTTAATGGTTTCTACATCATTCATAAACATTAACATTATTTTTGTCACCATTGTACGTGAGTAGCCATTTTACCTTTTAGAACCCTCATATTTTTGGCTTGGATTGTTATTTAATACGTTTGCATTTGTTTTCTACTTTGTGTAACCTGCATGTGTGTGTGCTTTATTTAATAGTGATCACCTTTAAGAAGATAGACCCCACTGCAACCCATGGAACGTCCAGAAAACGAAAAAAACCGGGCAAAGGTAACTTTTGTCTTCCTTTTCTGAGCAAAATTTACTTGGTTTCTAGTGTTTGTCCATTACTGAAAGAGTCCATTTGTATCGGAAGCTTTATAGTATATATCTTTCACAGATCCACTTATGTTAAGTGTTAAACCTTGTTAAAAACTTAATAGAATTCTTCTCTAAATGAACTTTACAGACAATTTTTCGAATAGTATCACAAAATAGTACGGCTAGAAACCATTTTGACTTATAATGCAATAAAGTTTAAATAGATGAATGAATTACACACAAAGTAAACCAGTTTTTGTAAAAATGATATAGTAAATTCATTCATTCAGAGTAAATAAAGCTAAACATAAATTACCACCAGTTAATGAACAATAATGCGTTTCGTAATTGGTACTTTTAATAAATACTGATTGGAACCTCTAAAGATTTTAAAAATAAACAACATTTTTGAATTTAGGATGTCAAAAATCGCATCCCTATTCATAGGACTTTTAACCAAATTTAAAGATGGTTTTTGGTGGTTTCTGACTTTGTATGTGAAAGTGACCAATTCAAGTACCTACAAGAACTGACCTTTCGACTAGTTAAGACAATTCTCTTAAAATACGAGTTTTGCTTCTTTGTAATATTGGGTTTACTATAGAAAATGTATCCTTAATATACCCATTTGGATTTGAAACCTTAACATGGTTATCTAATTATGTTACAATCCATATTTGATCAAAGTGACATGTATTTTATAATCAGACTATACCTCAAAGTCAAGTTTGTTGATTTATTCTATGTTTGTTACAGGCCCAAACCCATCAACTACCAAAGATAAGTCAGATCTCAACTCGTCTCCAAGCGATGCTCTCCTTCAGACAGACCCTGACAACAAAGCTTTCTATGAAAACCTTCCCTTCCATGGCATGCAGAACCCCCCAAACAAGGTACTTGTCTACAAAAGCTTGAATATATTTCAAATTGTCCCTGTACCTCGTATTGTTCTTAACTATCAGATTTCACAATACTTGTCATGTTAAACATAGTAGTTTGAAAATAAAGACTTTCAACTTAAGGCGAGTGGAGTAATTAGAATATCCATGTAAGTGTTGAACATATATACATCTTTAAATACACTGAAACATTAAAGTTCTTGGAAACAAAACGTTAACTTAAATTTTTACAGGTATTGTTTTCATAAATGTAAGGCATGAGTTATTTACTATGATTTCCCTTAACGTTTTTACAAAATAAGTAAGCGTTTGTATGAAAGAAAAAGTAATAAAAATACGTGTTGTGGTAAATTTAATGAAATATTGTTAATGAAATATGTTAAGGGTACAACAATATTATACAAACCTCATTGTGAGGTGTTTTACAAAATCGACTCTGTGATTATAAATGTAATTACCATAAATATAACAATTGTTAATGATTAGGTCTCGTTATATAAAATCTTCATGTTGAAACACAATTTAAAATATCAAATAACCTTAGTTCTAGGTTCCTTATTTCATCAATAAATAAACAATATGTATATATATTTATTAATTTATAATAGAAGTATATTTAAATTCGGCTTTAAATAGAATCATCAATCACAACTATCATCACAAAACATCAAAACAATGACCATTGCTAACAATAAGTAAACATTTTTTAACAACTAGTTTCTTAACTTTCTGTAACGTAATAATAGATCCATGTCGTCTGCATGCCATTGTTTAACTTTTGTCCTCGTTTTAGGTTCGTTCGAAAGTTGTATATGAAACATATATCTAACAGCTGTCTGTCATTCGCTGTAAGTTTCTGAGTGGCAAAATTAATTACTAACAAAAAGCGTCCATGAACTGACGATACTAAAAGTTGCCTGCTTTTAGTATGATTAATACAAGTTTTTTTCTTATTTATAAGCTTTAATTGGTTTAAGATTTTACGCTATAATGTGTAACTAAAAAATATATATATAAACCTAAACATTTTGGGTCAAAAACTAATGGACAATTATCCATAACGTATATTATTACAATCTGTTACGTATTTTAACAAGTTTAGTTGTTATTAATAGGAACTGAAATGTATATATTTTATGTAACACAAATTTTTCGATACTGTAACATAGGGCCTACTACACCTAACAATATTTTTATTTTGCACACTTAAAGGTTTACTTCACAATAATATACGTTTGAATGAGTTTTATGTGCGATTTTTTGATTTGGGTTTTGTTAGCTTTTTATTTTGTTTATTTTGTGTTTGTTTGTGTGTTTTGTTTTTATAATTTCCTTGTTTTCCCCAGCCTGATATGGATAGCTCAGAAGCTAACCCACCTCCTAGGCCCCCTAGTGCTATGAGCCAATTTGGGGGTTCATCAGGGTATGGCTCGACAAGGAGTCATGTCGGGCCCCATTTGAACGCTAAAGAAAACGACGAAAAGAAATTTGGGTCACTTCGGAGTTGTAAGAGGTGCCGCTCAGACTGGCCACAATTCCGATCCCTAAGAACTCCTAATAGGAAGAAAATGCTGCCTATAAAAGAAGGCTCCCCGGAGGCAAAATCCATCGAAGCCAAAGAAGCAAAAGAAAGTCCAAAAAAGAGAGAAACGAACTCCAAGGGAGTCAAACCCCCTGCCACCCCTGTCCGGGCAACTTCTACTCCAGTACCTCCCACACCGGCACCCCGAAAAACCACAAGTCCCACTTCAAAACAATCTTCAACCCCAAAACACACCTATCAAAATGTGCCCATTCCAATTACGCCGAACAACAGTTCAAACACGGATTCTGTAAACAGCACCAACGAAGAGGTTAGTTTTGGTGATGGGCTTAAAAATAGCAGGACGTGGGAAATAGACGAAATACACAATATATAAATTGACGAGTCGTATCAAACTCGAAAACTAAATCTCTAAATCAGGATTATTGAATGGGTTTTCTGCTACTAAAGCTTTTTTTCCCAACAAAGTTATTTTTAGATTAAATAATTACACATTCAACAAAGTAAACGTGTTGATTTGACTTAATTGTAATTTTCAACATTTTTGTTTTAACATAATGCTTGTGGCAATGTAGGTGCTTTGCCCTTTTGTAACTTCTTTTTTATGTTAATTGCTGCTTGACAGACATTCGTAGCCACAGTTCTTGTTTTTATGCCACGTGAGTGACCTTAACTAACCCTTTCCCGTTTTGAGATTTTTACTTTCTTTTATTATTTTATTTATTTTCCTCATTTCTTTATTTTATACTATTATTAGTTGTAGTTTGATTTATCACATCTATTATTTCAATATTTATATGATAAAATTAAGATGAAAATTTTAAAAATATCATTACTACATATGAGCGTTATTTAACGGGTTTACCAGCTAGTTACGTCAATTCTTTAAGTGGAAATACAGACAGTTCTTTAAAGTGTATACATTGGTAGACACAATGGGCCTTTAACACTCAAAAGCATGGTAGTTTCAAAACCGATTGAATAAAAAATTACCATTAAATTAATGTTAAGATATCTCAGTTAAGTTGTACATAATATAATGGCATGCAAAGAACTTCAGTGTTACGAAAACCAGTAAACTTTAATGATATTATAAAAGTCATATACTTCCTCAAATACACGTTATATGTCCTATTTGTTAATTAGGACCCTGGCACCCTGTATTGCTAATTAGCAGTATGTGTGTTAGAAGTAAACAGGACAGTTTTATGACACCTGTACACAAAACATAGTAGTAAACATATTTTACTAAAGAACATAAATTAAATAATCTGAATGCTTTTTATTTCCATTGATGCATAAATAATGTTTCTCTTGTATATATAGCTACCATATTTTTCGTTTTGTTTTTGCTTTATTTCAAATAATACAATGTAAATAATTTCAGTGTCATGACATCTAAAACATTTTGTTTCATTACATAACAGCAACAATTATAATAATTATTATAATTGACAAGTAATTGTAATTGATAAGTTTGCATGCTATCAAACTTCAGAGTTTGATAAACCCTTATGAAACATTTGACTAATGCTAGCAGTGTGTTTGTGTGTTTACTTGTACACTAACGAGTCTGTGTCCGTGTAGAACCCCCACCTGCAACTAACCAACTCACCCATGGACCGGCAGAGGCTACTAAACCCCATAAATGGCAGACAATCACTGAAGAAACAACGGTCGCGGCAGCCGCCACCCCCTGGCGATGAGTATTACCACCACCAGGGGTACATGCTGAACAACGGTACGGTCGTGTACGCAGATCTGGCGCTGAACCACCAGCGGCCGCGACAATACCTGCCTCAGCATGTGCCTCTACCGGTGTACCACCACTCAAGACCTCACACTGAGTACGCGGTCATCAAGTTCCACGACGTCGGTCAGGAGATAGACGTCTGAGGTGGGTTTTAGTCGCGGAAATTTGATTAAAGTTTTCACGAAGGTGGAAATTTTTCATAAACGACGCCTCTAAGTGGTATGTAAGGCTAGGGCAGAATTGATGTCTAGACGCGATGACTGATGAAGTTATAAAGATACGTATTGACAATGAAGAGGCTACTACTAAATAGTTTAGATGTTGTCTGTTCAATAGTTAGTTTAGATAAAACTCAGGTTATCTCTAAATTGTATATGGTACACAGACTAAAACAATTACTGGCTTTAAAAAATTTACAAAAACATACCACGGATATTTAAACAAAATATTTCCCTATAGGGAAATTCGCTAAAGCTACTGACTCCTAATAGTATTTAAATTTTTAAATGTATTTATTTGAATTCAAACTTTGACAGGAAGACAACCACAGCAGCTGCACCTACATTTTTTGAAAGCGGTTTACCAGGTGAATAAGTTATATTTACCATAACTGCAAAGCATCCTAACCCTCAACTGTTTGAAAAACACGTAAATAAAGTTTAAGAAGAGTTGTGAAACAACGCAGCTTTTGATTTTTAGGTTAGTAAATTGTGAATAACCAATGTTGTGCAAAGTAAGAGAATGTTTGGTTATGCATTTTAGGACAGTTAGTTAGCAGGACATTTTATTAATATGTTTTATCAAGACATATTTTCTGAAAAAAAAATATCTAATGTAAAAAGAAGCAACTAATAGCTGTTAATGTGTCACTTACTTCCCGCAATATGATGTAAAGGCGATTGACAAACCTTCTTTGAATTTCACGTGACATAATTTATCTGTGAAATGGGTTGATAATAAAAATTTAACTACCAGGTAAATATATACATGTAAGTAAATATACACTAGAATAGTATTTTGCATCCTATTAACAAATAAATGTCTTCAAGTTGCAGAGTGTCGAATTTAAATTTGATTGTTTTTTATCTAACCTAAAGTGTGTGTTAGTGTGTCTTCTATTTTGTACATTAATTGATTTTCTTTGCATATTAATTGTCTTGAATGAGGAATAATAATTTACCCTGATACTGGTTAGTGTTTACTCACAAGAAGGTAAATACAGATAAAGGATTCTAAGTGGTAATCGATTTCGATTGGACATTCCAATCATCATCAGACCCAACAGGCGAATGAAATCTATCTCCACTTACCGTATTTGATATGTAATTACCGTCTTGTGAGTAAACAGTTTAAGTGTAAATATATTGTTAAAAGTGTTATTTAACGTTTTTTTTGGCCTACTTTCATTGTCATCTTTTTATTTTTGAAAATCCCTCTTGCATTGTATACGATGATCGTCCATCGTATAGATTTCTTAAGTTCAAAAGAGATTTCAAAAATAATCTAAAATCTCATATCTCTTATTTAAAAATGAAACAGAATTTGCTACTCATTAACATCTACTTATTGTCATCTATTGTTGCAGCCATTCCGTCCCCAGTTTTCGGATCTGGACTACGCTGACGTGGACTACAGGTCCTACGGGCCCATCAACTACAAGGCTGCCAGCATATACGCTGTTCAGGGCCGCAATACGCCGGCGCCCGACGACGAGGAACTACTGTGATCCCCCACGCATTTACTACGCCCTCCGACGTTGCCACATCTCGTGCGACGTTGCCACATCTCGTGCGACGTTGCCACATCCCGCGCGACGTTGCCAACTTACGTTTTGATCGAGGCACTACGTTTCGTTAAGCATTTCGTTAGTTGTATGAATCATGTAATGTGCCTTTTTACGATAATTTACACCGTTAGTCTGTGTTAGTGTTTCGGTGTAGCTTGTAAAGTCGTGGGTTCCAAATTCCAGTAGCTTAAGGAAGGGATAATTAAGTGCATTTTGTAACTTATTTCTAGTCATTTTAAATTTTAAAACTCAATATTAACGAACTAATAATTAGTTTATGTTTGCTAGGGTTAATGTTTGCTGTGAATTAATACTGTCATTTATTCAAAATAGGTTCCGACAGGTCCAAGGTCTGTGAACGTTAATAATGATCCAATATTTATTGTATAAACATATTTTATTAGTTTTAAGAATTGCATAATGGTTCTACAGTTTTAATTCACAATAAATCCTCTCAATGTGATTTTTACTGATAGGAGTTTCAACAGTGGTAGATTTATTTTAAAATTACATATTTTCCACTACTCGAAGAAATGTATATCTGATTGTTTGCTGTACTCAAATGTTTGTGCTCTTCACGACTCGTCTCTCTTCGTGGAACGTTTTCTCAGTGTTCGGGGCTAAGCCTTCTCTAACTATTTGTAAATACTGTGGCCAAAGACTACAACCCTTGTAAGATAAGAGGGGAGGTGCTTCGTTGTACTAGTGCGAATTCAAAAACTCGTTTTCTATCGCCCCAAAACAAATAACACTGTTTTGTAACTAGTTCGTACTAATGTCCATCGGTGTGTATACATGTACAGTGTGTTATATAATGAAAATAATGTTTTTTAAAAAGCAACATATAGTGATGTATTTTGTACATAAAGAGGGGATTGTTAGGACCGAAGATGGTAGATATTTTCTCGGTCAAACATTGTTAACTTGGATGTGTATATTTGAATGAGATGGCTGTAAAAAAGTTCGTGTCCAAGTGGATATAGTGTGGATACGTGCTAGAGAACGTTTTCACTGTTGGAATAAAATAATGAAAACAAATTATTTATTTATTTTCCCTGTTTACTAAATTTACTGTCTTGTATGCATTGTATTGGATACTTTTAAATACATATGTGTATTCCAAAGTCCACACGCATCGTGCGATTACTCATCAAATTGTTGATCTTAATCGTATTATTAGTTTGGTAAATACTTCAACCATTACAAGTTTCTAAGCTTACAAATTCTCTTCTGGACCAACAGTTTTTAAAGTTACATACACTTTTTTTTCATAATTATTCATGTTACAATGGAAAACTATATGAAAAGGATTTTGCATAAGTCCTTTTCATAATTATTCATGTTACAATGGAAAACTATATGAAAAGGATTTTGCATAAGTCCGAATTTGTAAACGTGGAATGAGTTTGTTTTTCAATTTAGTAATAGGGTTGTGATACATTTTTTAAGTATACATATGCTATAAACAACTTTAGGTTTCAGATATAAGATTCATTAATGTAATATAAGTAACAGATTATCATTAAATTATAAACAACAATATTAGACGTGTTATGCAATCAAGGTTGATCTTTAATCCCCGAAAAATATGAAAGCATTACAACAATATAAAAATATTTAAACAAATTTAAGTTAATAAATTTACCTAAATTTATCGTAGAAAATTGTGAATGGTGGCCTACTATGTTATAGTCTTCCAGTTACAACAAGGCGATACATGGGTTTTCCATTTAAAATTAAAAAAAAATTTTGTCCAGGTGTCGACGGTTAGTTTTAATGGCAAAAAGAAAGGATATATCGACAGAGGACCCTGTCATCCCATGTCATAATGTAAGTGTCAAAGGATGAAAGAAGGTTTAAGGAAATGTCTACATGCTACGTGTTTTTAAAAATCCCTGTAGGCTAGTGGCCATTTTGGGTTAGTTTAAAACAACTGCTGAAGTGTTTATAATGCCAAAATAGCTTTTTAAATACCAGTGGTTATAATTTAAATATCTAGAGTACTGTGAGATTGCTTGTGTTTCTGTATTCTCCCCAAATGGGTCCTTGGAAGCTTACGGCCATATTGGATTAGTCCACCATAAGAGCAGTGTTAATTTCAAATAGCCACTGAAGAGTTCTTACGTAAATAAAAGATACGTCTTATAACACTTAAAACATATATTTACGCTTATACTGTTACTCACAAGACGGTAAATATACAAAAAAGATGGTAAGTGGTGATTGATTTCGATTGGACACTCCAATCATCATCAGGCCCAATAGGCGAATACATTCTTTTATTTATATATATTTTATTTACTTTCCGTAAATTTAATAACGGAAAGCTGATCAAGAAGTTATTTGAAGAGTTATTAGCATGCCAAAATGTGTGTGTTTTTTTTAAATACACAAGTGATTGTAATTAAAATATTTAATGTCATGTGGGATTCGAGATTTAATTTTTAGTTTTGTAATGTTTTTATTAGTTAGCACAGCTAGGCTCCAAGGACTTGTTGTTCTGGTATATTACGTTAATGTCTACTTAACTATTTCTTAAAAAGACCGGTTCCATAGATAAGGAGACATTCTCTGTATATAACAACCAGGCCAAACGACTTGTGCGGGAGGAAGGGGGGAGATCACTTCAGACAGATTAACGGTTTCCCCGCCTTCAACGGATTATTGCACCGATTCATCAATGGTCCTGCCAACACAGACATTAGGAGGACGTATCCGACCATTAGGGCATTCTTTAATTCTTATAGAAATACGTTGGTAAAACATATATCGTAAGTCAAACATTTGCAACATTGTTATTATTTTTTTTTTTAGAAAAATAACCTTTTGTGGTAACATAATGATTAAAATTGACTAGGGCTTTAGAAAGATAATTTTAAAAAGTTTTGTGTTTGATGTTTACGAACACTATTAATTAAAATGTATCAAACTATAACATCCCTAATCAATTCAAATAAAAATTAAACCAAATTGAATAATTCTTTACTGTTAACATTGACTAGCTTGATATCTAAAGCTGAACTACAGTAAAAAAAATATGAGATAGGGTTAGGTCTTTGGGTGTTATTTATTTTGAAAACTGAGTTTATTATAATAAACTTTGCCTATTAGACACAGTAACATAAAAAAAACTTAAATTTATGATATAAATAATGTGTTTATACTCAAGAGTTTATACTAGTGTGGCTGATTGAACGTGTAATTTAATATAGCATAAATATTAATCCTAACTTACTGCAAGCTATGTAAATTTGAATAAGTACATTTATACATTTAAGGTTGGGAAAGAATAAAACAAAAATTTGGAAATGTTAGTCTATTTATATTTTATTTCACTAAAATTTCTTATAGCCTCCAATGGCTATAAGAAAGGTTCCAATACTAAATTAATTAAATCTATTAAACTTTCCCGAGTGGAAAGTAGCTGTAGGCGTAGTTATTCATAGTAACAGTTTAAGAACCCTGTGCATTACTGTTTTCTTAGAAACCTACACACCAAATAAAAAATAAAATGGATATACTATTAATACCACTTAAGGTCAGGATGCAGCTGGGCGTATTTAATACATCCAAATATGATTGAATGAGGAGTTTAGAATGGAGTATTTTTTGCTTTTTGTGGTTTTGGACTCTGATCAGCTGATCCGTAATCCAGGTCCATTTATGAAAGAACGGTCATGATGGACAGCTGACACCGTTTTCCGACTATTATAAAGCAACACTGAAATCTTCTATGGTGGAAACAGCAACCTTTTTTATCACCAGGTGGGTAATATAACCAAATACCCATACATATCAGGAAGTAATGTATATTTTTTAACTTCACACATTGGTACGCTTAGCTCTTGCCTAGAACCGTTTTCCACATTTTACAGACAATGCCTAGATTGTCGTAGCATAATCAATGATTAGATACAGTGGTGATTAGCTACCAGAAATATTGGGGACTGAAGTTCTGCGCTCCATCACTAGTCTAGCTCACATTCTTCCAAGTTAAGTAAGTAAAAGGTAGGAAATTACTGAGTGAACGCTTTAGGAAGATAACAACTAAAAGTAAACTATAGTGCGGAATAGAACCTATTTGAGTCTTGCTTCAGGTGATCCTTTATAGCAGAGAACAGGAAGTGAAGGGAGCGGGGTTGCTATATGATTCCACTTATCGTTCTCTCATGCCCCCATTATCTCGTTGTAAATCACAGGAACATGAACACTGTTCAACCACAAGTATGTTGAGTATTCACATGCAAAATTAGTATCGAACGAGGAGTGCATAGTTTAAATTTATGAGAGAGTGTAATATACAAATCGAGCGAATAATTAACTTCCACGATTTATTACTGGTTGATTAATCTTTGGGGGTATTAGAACTAAGTTGTTAAATCATAGGATTTCAAAAATATTTTTGATTAGCTGTTTACGATGTATTTAAAACTCACTAGATAAAAATCCATCAATCAACTAATTTGCCCTTGGCTGTCTAGCAAGTATGTTTTTTAGAATAATTATTTTAATACTCAACATTTAAAAGGAATTATTTCTAGCTAAGTTCTGTTTGTGTTTAAATGCCAATGTCGCCGTATGGATTTTTAATATTCCTTCAAATTTACTTAGCAGAATTAGTTTTCATTAAAATTGAGTAGTGTATTGTTGAATTATAAAATATTAAGCGAACCTCATTTTGTGAAAATGGCCACATTACATTCACTATTCCAGAATAGTGGGTGAAATTTAGATCGGCTAATCGTTTTCAGGCTTAAATTATTCAAGGAATTTATCTTGTTTGAATCTGTTTGAATAAGTCAAGTAGGGTTAGAGGCGTGCCTCTTAAAACAATTTATAGGGTCTTATTTTATGTGAAGAGAGCCAAGAAATATGTCCTGTAAAAAATACGACGGAGATAAAAACAGGGAAGTCAGGTTTCTTGAATATCTTACGCCTAAATGTTCACTTCCTTCTTTCTTTAATCTCACTTCTAAGATAACTTTCTTACCTGACGTTTTAAGTCGTAGAAGTAATTTTATACGAAATAACCTATACTTGTTGGTAAAACACGATTTTCCATTTTTTTATTGCATGATTTGTGAACCTATCATGTTTCTTTGTTTTTATTCGTATCGGTCTGCCAAAAGTATTGGGTTTTAATATTTATGGGTAATATGTAGAATTTTCCTCTTCAAAACCAATTATAAAACCTGTTATAATCTTAATAAAATAACTGTTTATTTTGAACAACATTTATTTATTATTTTATATATTTGTATTTCATTTAAATAGAGAGGGAGAAAATATCAAATAATTTATAATCTAAATAGTATATTTTTTGTCTCTACTTCGAAATTGTTATTATACTTACCTTTATTTTGTTCGATTTAGTAGTGCAAAACTAAAATGCTTCAAATAAGATTATTTAGCTCCTGAGTAAATTTTGTTTAGTAAATTAAAATATAATAATTATTTGTAATAGATTATTATTTTAATTTGATATTTTATGGATTTTGGTATCCAAATTCCAAACGATGGTGATTGGACCGTTAAAAAATTAAAACCACTTTTCTGTGGATTGATTTTATTCCTAGCTAAGGTATTACTTAAAAAAAGCCATGCCTAACCCCTTTGAGGGAATAGAGACCACGACTATCTTGAAGTAAAATGTCACACCACAACTCCCCCATACAGTTTATGGTCTGACCTTCTTCCAAACGTCCCTCCACAAGCTAAGAAGAAAGGTCAATTAAACCATCAACCCCTTTCTCCATTGTAAAATTACAAAAATTATAGCCGAACTTTGTTTTTTTGTGTAACGTTGGAACATTTAATAATTATTTAGATGGATTTTTTTCTAATAAACTAAGTATAGGAACGTATGTTAAACCTAAGTAGGACATTTTAATGTAACAAATTTTGTGTTTGAATTTGGTATCCTTATTTCAATAGATTTTTACATCTAACCTTTGGATTTAAATTATTGTCTCGCACATCGCAGTTTTTAAAACCAATAATTTTAAAATATTTCAGCTTGAAACTTCTATCA